ACTTTTTGCATAGAAATAATATTAGCTAATCAAGATCAACCAGAGCTGCTGTATTGACATTTAAGGGTTTAGCAGATGCAATTGATCATGAAATTTTCTATACGGAACAATAACTTAAAAATCCAAACAATTTTCAACGGTGAATTGATAACCTCGCTGTTAACTGCAAAAGGCAACGCTCAACTGGGTTAGGATCATAATGGTAATAATGATTATAATTTGCAGAAGGATATAAATACATACTGTATACATATGAACATATTTCTATGTATGTACAAAGATGCGATCTTAAGTATACTTTTACATACTTCCATATATTGTTATATAGAAAAATGTACATACGTACATGTGTATGTACATAAGAGTGGTCCGAATTTTGTTTCCTTTTAGTTTTTTTTACTTTTGGTATTTGTAATATCTATACGAACCATCAATTTTCTACTGTAACCAATATAGGGTGCTCAATGATATGGAAACTAACAAAGTTATTGATGATTTTTATAAAAAGCATTGGCAAACTTCCGAGTGTATTTCTGCCATGAAAAACAGCTTCTCATAAAAATACAATAGCCTTTCGTAATGGGCTGTAGGTCTCTCCCCTTTGCGTGACTTCATCAAGGCGCACGCCACAAATCGGAGGAGAAGCTCGGCCAAACACTATTATTATTATTATAAAAATAAATAGTTTTAGGTTTCTTAACCCATTGTTTGGCTAATATATGTACATGCAATATACTTCTAGGGTAAAATATGTATACTTAAGGAAGGAGAAAAATTTGGTAAGGCGCCTCAACCCTATCTCGGAAAAATTCAATTTGACCCACTCTAATGTACATACCTACTCACAATATTGCTATCAATGATGATGAATTTCAGCTGGCAATCAGCAAAAGCGTACGCAGGGCAAAAACTGAGACTAAGCAGATTATAATATATGCACATACTTATTATACCACAAACAGACATCCAATCTGCGTACATATGCACACTAGGGTGGCCCGAAAATGCATGTGAAAAAGTAAAGTGGAAATTATAATGCTCTCACCTCTGATATTTTTGTATACGGAAAAAGAGTATTCTCCTGTACTTTTTTTTTAAATCAACAAATATTTAGAGGTCGCTCAAAGTACTCAACATTTTCCACGTATTTTATATGGGAAAACCCCATTTTTCGTGGCAATGGTATAGAATTCTTGAAAATTAATATCTTCCGATCAGGAAACTCCGTTTCCGAGTAATAAAACTCAACTCTTTAATTTAGCCTTTTTTAATAACAGCGATTTGTATGGCTCCCCCATTTCATTTTTGGGGGTTTTAGGGGTTCAATAACAAATAGTTAATACTCAAAAATGGTTAAATAAACAATTGGGTGTTATTCGCTTGAAGAGAAACCAAGTTTTCTGATTGAAAAATATAAAAAATAAAACATTGAAAAATTTTCAAGAAACCTATACGATTTTCGATATAGAACAATACTAGGGGGTGAGCGCATTAAAATGCCGTCTTAAATTTTTTTTCTTTACCACCCAAATGTACACATTTCAAGTAAGCCAAAATACATGCCAAATTATGCAAAAAAAAATCAAAAGAAATGCCAGCAACAGCAGCTGATACAGGAAATTCGGTGTTGAATGACAGCAAAGAAGAAAACAGCAAATGGCAAAAGCTGCTACTGACACG